GTCAGGTATGGGCTCAGAGGGCATTTTCCAAAGCGTTGACCAGAGTGTGTGCCGAAGTCTGATTTCGTCGAGGTACCAGCCGCTGGTCGTCAAACTCCTGGTATACTGTTGGTGGAAATCTATCGGTTTCCAGCAGATGATACGTTGGTCAGCAAAGTCGCAATGAGAGGAATGCAACAGATAGAGGACATATCGCGCGTTCTTGCGATGTGGGGCACGATGAGTTACATGCATCTTACGTCTTGTCTCACCATCGGCTAAGGCCGGTCCATTGGTCCGTGCTACTGTACAACCGTATCATCACCGCCGGTGCTCCCTAGAGCCTTATCTCGCCGAGATCCACCATCTCGTCCTAATCTTGAGTATCTACATTATCGATGAGAACCTCGGTCAGTACAGCCTCATCACGATCTATAGCCTCGATTCGATCCAGCATCCCACTCAGATCTACGGCTGTACACCTTCGGCCGGACTGACAAGCGAGCGGTCTTCATCATGGTCACGAACACCCAGCCAAAGGTTGCGGACTATGACCCAATCACGCTCTCTCTCTTGTGAGTAGCTATCTCCCGCTCGGATACTGGGCCGACTCTAACGAGCTAAGTATCAATCATGCAGCTCGAACCGATTCATGTGCATTGCCGAAGCGATGGGTCGATCCCTGAAGCAGACAGCGATAAGTACCAATATCAAAGAGCGGCTCGACTTCTCCTGCGCTGTGTTCTCACCGAGCGGCGACCTGGTCGCGAACGCGCCTTTCGTACCTGTCCATCTGGGATCAATGAGCTGGTCCGTAAAGTACCAATTGAAGTTGCATGAAAAGGACTTGAAACATGGGGATGTGATCTTGACTAACTCGCCTATGGCTGGAGGCAGGTGAGTTTCGTGCCTTTTCGAGGTGCCCATGGTGCTGACCGTTGCCTGTCAGTCATCTACCTGACTTAACGATTATCACTCCATGCTTTGATCAGGATGATCCGACCAAGATCATCTTTTTCACCGCGTCCCGTGGTCGTGAGTGACGTTCATACTCGTTTCGGCATTCTACAGCCGCTCTCATTACCTCTCACGTCCCAGGTGCCTTAGTTGATATGATCACAGACCATAGCGACATTGGGGGAATCCTTCCTGGATCAATGCCCCCGACTTCCACCCAGCTTTATGAGGAAGGCGCGAACATCCACTCTCTCAAAATCGTCTCCGATGGCTACTACGATCATGATGCCCTTCATCGAGTGATGGTTGAGGAGCCTTCTCAATATCCAGGTTGTTCGGGGTCCAGATCGTTCAGAGACGTGGAAAGCGATGTCAAGGCTCAAATCGCTGCTAACAACAAGGGCACAAGCTTGCTCAGGGCGCTTGTGAAAGAATATGATCTAGAAACCGTACATCGGTATATGGATCATATTCGCAAGTGAGTGCACTTCCTACTTGTAGATAGCTCCAACACCTTACTTACTCATTGGCGCAACAAATAGCAACGCAGAGCAAGCGGTGCGTAATATGCTTCGAACAGCAGCCAAGAGAGCAGGAACCAACGTGCTACATGTAAGTCTCTAATGGCTATGACCCATCGTATCCGCACAGTCGCGCCTAACAGGTTGTTCCAGGCTGTCGACTACTTGGATGACGGTTCACCTATCGCACTCAAGATCACCATAGACACCGATTCCGGGTCAGCAGTGTTCGACTTTGAGGGGACTGGTCCGGAATTGAGGGGTAACCTGAACGCACCAATATGTGTGGTGCATGCTGCTGTGATCTACTGGTACGTCCAAGGAGAGCCGTATATCCTTCGTCCGTCAGTCAGTCCAACTTGCGCTAACCGCTCCAACACAGCATGCGATCGATGATCGGCGAGGATATCCCTCTAAATGCTGGGTGCCTTGTCCCCATCGAGATCAAGATACCTGAAGGGTGTCTGCTATCACCTTCTCCTGAAAGTGCGGTTTGTGGTGGAAACGTCATGACGAGTCAGAGGATCACGGATACAGTGTTGCTGGCTTTCAAGGCATGCGCGGCGAGCCAAGGATGTTGCAACAAGTAAGCAGCATAGTAATCAACACACTTTTGTGGAATGTGCCGAATCCTTTGTTGATACGGGATACCTGTCAACTCATCAGCCTCACGTTCGGAGCTGGTGGAAAAGATCCGGAGACGGGAGAAGTAATCGATGGTTGGGGATACTACGAGGTATGTCGCGACTTGGCGTGGCTTAGTGCACACGGTCCTGGTGACTGATCCTGGTCCAATTCGCGCGGCAATAGACCATCGCGGGCGGTAGCGGTGCCGGTGATGGATGGCACGGGACATCAGGGGTCCATTGTCATATGACCAATACGGTGAGTGAGCGAACTCGATGTCATTGCCAATGACAAGGGTTAATCATCGTTGTACAATCAAGCGAATCACTGATCCCGAGATCCTTGAACGGCGATACCGTAAGTGGATCCTCCGCTCCCCTAGATTGCAGACTACTAATCAGAAGCATCATGTAGCTGTGATCCTACACGAGTTCGGGTTTCGACCTGCGTCCGGCGGAGTGGGCAAATATCGAGGCGGTGAAGGGTGCATCCGATCACTCCAATTCTTACAGCCTTTATCCGTCTCGATCTTGTCCGAGCGACGATCACGTGCGCCATACGGTATGAACGGCGGTGGACCTGGCGCAACTGGTTTGAACCTCTGGATCAAACAGCCCGATGTAACAAACGAGGACGACAAACATGCCAAAGTGAGGACCATCAACGTCGGTGGGAAAGGCACGATGCAGTTTGGTACAGGGGATTATCTCATACTGCACACGCCGGGCGGGGGTGGGTATGGGTCCCCGGAGCACGAAGATGAGAAGGAAGAGAGGGAAGAGGAAAGATTGCACATTCAGGCGAGAGAATGGGAGGCAAGGGGTAGCTGGGCAGACAAGGCCCAGCCAGACTTCTAGCCACACTGTATTCAGAACCAGCATGTTAGTGTCTTTCGGCGCCCGTCTCATAGTGTCGGGAGATCGGTGCAAGGATGTATTATCTGACCGTCCAAGTAAGGAACAGGCAGAGAGTGTTCGTGTTCCATGACAGCCTCACACTTTCTGCAACCAGATCACGGCTGACGTCGATCAGGAGCGAATGATATAGTTGCCACTGAGTTGAACCGCGCCGGCACAAACCCCCGTTCGCTCAACGGTGAAAGCGCTCCGGTTGATCAAGTGCCACCACACACTTGAATTGTGTGCGAAAGCTACCGTGGATGCGGGCTACGTGTTTTTGCATGTTGCGGCGTCCTTTTATCATAAGGGGAGTGAGTAATATCGGATTCATCCCGGTTCGATCTAAGGTCGCAGGTTGTGACGTCTTTTTACACGCGGAAGAAGTACAAAATGAATGCTCAAGCTGATTATACTGATATAGCGGGCCCCTCCCGACTGATGGAAACCGATGCACTTTGTGGAATAGACCTGCGCATGGACACACCGCGGAATGAACCGCCCACGAAATTTGTGAATATGAGCGTGTTAAGAGTAGTAATCTGCCGCGGCAGTGATACTGCACTAAAGGGAAGGACACACAAGGCCGTCCTCGCAGCAAATTCAGCCACACATCTAAAACTGACTTGATAGAGTAATCTGACGATCTGCCTACACACAACCAACTCCAATAGCTCAATGGTCAGAGCGCCCTCGGCCTTGGCGTACAATGCCACTCGGAATGCACGGTCCTTATGTTAGAACCGGATGTACCGGATGTTCGTTGTGGACCACTTGTTGAGGTGAGATTCTGGTTCGATTCCGGATTGGGGGAATGTACATGTTTTTTTCGCTCAGCGTTCATTGCAGTATGATCAGACCTCCTTTGACACGCGCATCCCACAGGCTTCTATAATTGTCGCTGCTGCAATGGCTGATGCTGGGGTGAGCGCTGGATAGTCAGAATAGTTATTCGACCAGTCAATATTTCGGAAAGTCTGCGTTCTCAGCTGGTGAGGGGGCCCAATATATAGATAGCACTGCCATGCTAATTTGCCGCCATGGCATCTCTGTCAGTACACGTCAAGGCAAGTGATCAACAGTGTCACACTATAGTCGGATAGCTGCTAACCATTATGACGGCCGATTGCTTCTGCTATCATCTCGATCGCGAGAGCGAATAAACAGAGCTGAGACTGTCCAAAGCTTGATCTCGGTCTTCGTTCGCGATACTCCGAGATTGATCATCATCACGAGCAGTCTCTCACCATCAGCAATGAATGACTCAAGTGCAGCTGTCCGGTCTCGCTGCCGACGTACCGGAATCACAACACGGCGCTGGGAGCGTTTCCATCAAAGTCGCGTCAATCGACTTTTCACTTTTTCACGATCAAGCTCGAGTACCACCTTGCTTTTCTTCCGTTTTCTTCCTGCACATCATCAGCGCGCGTCCCTTGCCACGACAGTCCACGCCCGCCCTTCCCCGTGTCTCTGAGAGGCACCCCTTAGACCAAGTCAATCTCAGCATAACCACAACACCTCTCGTTAGCTTAACGTATAGCAGTCCTCTTTATATTTTCAAACGGCACCTTCAATTCCTCCCCGAGGGTGAGTGGGTTGACGGTCAAGGTGGGATAGGATGGAGCCTGGGTCGACTCCAGGGCGGGAGATGAATGCTTTTCATTATTTCATTATCTGTAGGCTTACAATGTTTGTGGGGTTGTGGGCCTCCCTTAGAATGACGGCAACGTAAGTGTATAAAGAGCGAGCATCTTTTCTACAGTACACGATTTCTCACTCACGCAAAGTGGTCAAGATCGCCTGGTCACGTCTACAGTACCGGAGATCAAACAGACCTGATGATTCTTGCGGAAATCCCCAAAAGACGTTCCGAGCATGCAGCCAACAACGCCTTGCAAGTCGTCGCCACTTAATGCGATGTCGGCCTGTCTTAGTTTGTGACGACGCAACACTCCGTCTTACCAGGGCACCCCTGTTTGTTTATGCAACATATGTCTACCAAACACAAACAAACATCCAAGGTCAGGTAGCCCAGTGGTTAAGGCGTTGCCTTTACAGAATATCTCTTCTGTACGGCAAAGGTCGTGGGTTCAATCCCCACCCAGATCATTACTTTTTGGTGTTTGTCGAAAGTCAACCTCTTTTTGGGTTTGGTGGGGCTTCTCACGATGCGGCACCACAGAAGCGTAGAGTCAATGTTTGTATGCGTCATGCATTGAGTAACCTGTGACTCTTGGACAGAGCTCAGAAGCATGAGTCGCGACAGCGTGCAGACACCGTCGGACGGAGTGTATAATGTGCAGCCTGTGGTGCGGCCTAAGTCCCTAGAGCACGTCATGAATCTATATATTATGTGCACAAGTTGGACAAACATGTGTGGTATATGCCTATGTATCAATCGTCCGCCTCGCCTTCTTCAACAAGCTCCCCACAAACAATATATTTCCTTTCAAAGTGCTCATGCCATCCTCGCATATTGTCACTGGGGGATCAAGCCAAAGTCAGCCTCCGCCTCAGGTCCACACACAGCAGAGCCACAACAAAGGCAAAAGGATGGGGAAAGGACACAGGGATCGCTTACATTTCAGCTGATGTCAAGTTTGAGAGATTGTCGAGCGGTTGGTCCAGAGGAGTGAGCATGTCTGAGGAACGGAATATGAGTTGGGGAATAAGAAATAGGTCAGCTTGAAAATTGCGCATCCTCGTTGCACGAAGCTGGATGAACTTCCAGCCTGGAGCGCTATAAGAAGGAGGGCATGATTCGAAGAAGCAGTCCGAGGTGAAAGGGAGACAGAGACAGCACAGACCGACCCACCCAACTCGAAAGACTGCTTGGCCATACCTCTCGAAGCGTCACGCCCAGCAAAGTTGCCGTAGACGCCGTCTGTGGGCGGAACGAGTAGTTGTCGAATGGGTATGAGATCAGCATAGATTCCAAGGTAGTATGGTAGTGTTCGCAATAGACCCCATGTTACGCATGTTACGCTCGCTACGGTATATCGCTATACGCTTCCTCTCTAAGCTTGTATGTAACCGGAGCACTCACCAGGTCCGTAAAAAGTCTTGCCGGCGGTAACGTCAAAGACCGTTCTCTCCCCCCATTTCCCATCCGGACCCGTCCTCAGTATAGCCAGCAAGATTCTCTCACTCTTCACTCCGTCATACTCGGCCAACGAGCTGGGAGTATACTTCTTCTGAACGATGACATCGGGGTGTCTTGCAGGTAACCAGTTGTAGACTTGTTCAGAGTAAGTGGAAGCTGCTGGTGCTGGGGAGGTGGGGCTGGGTACGATTATGCGGAAGAATAAGTATAGGATTGGTGGAATCAGGAGCAAGTTGACGGGGTTCGAGAGGGACATGACGACAGTCGAGGACTACTAGGTAGTAGATCTGAAGAACTGATGATGTTCACGATGTGCGAGAGAGGAGGACTTAAGATGTTTATTCAGCGAGGACAGTCGCTGACTTTTCGACGTTGATGCTCAAGCGCCGGGTTTGACGATGTACGGTGTCCCGAATGCGCCCTTGGCTTGTGCGCGTAGCAGACTGTGCGAAATAGCCAAATGATACAACAGAGATCACTCTTTCTTGCATTCAACTCTCGTAACACGGATACCTGTTTGTCCGAACTCGCAAAATAAGCATATGCATCATGAGTTTCTGACATTCCCGGCTCCCCTATGCTGCGTGTGCGATGAAGGCGTGTGTATGCATGCATGTGTATGCTGATGCATATCATGCGATGCGGTGTCGCGTCTCTTCGGCTCGGCGAGAGTGAGTGAGTGAGTGAGTGGTGACGAATGCGGTATTGGGGTGAATGGGTGAATGGGTGAATGGGTGAATGGGAATGTTTTTGTGGGCATGTCCGCCTGTATAGCTAGCTATAGGCACTTCCGCGTCCGTAAACGTAACAATCACCGTTGGTATGGTTATGGGATGGGTTTTTGGTTTTCACTCTCTCTTGACTTTTGACTTTTACTTTGTACATCACATCACATCAGCAAGACAATTACAATCTCAACACGCAACACGCAACATTATATACACTGCTATCAGATCAATACGTGCACACGCTCTTATAGCTCAATCTTCTCCAGCGCCATTTTTCACCTCTAGTCATTCTTTCAACAGCTCGCTAAATCACTAAACCCCATCCTCGCCGCTGAACAGCCCTCCACTCGATTCCCCCTGCCCGTTATCCATCATCTCACACACCATGTTATACACTCGAGCTTCTGGCGGTATTGGCTCCACTTCGGTCGGAGCCATTGTCAGACGGACTCCCAATGGTATGACTCTTACTCGAGGCAGCACCACCGGTAGCTTGGCTTCCAGACGTGAGTAGAGTTACATCATTGACATAGGTAGGGATTTCATAAATTGTGGAGTGGACGTGCTGATGATTTGCTGTTGTTTCTGCTGGGTGTATCATAGAACACCAGCTGTACGCCCACGCTTTCGGTAATCAACTTTCCAACCGAGCACTCTCCTCATCGCTGCCCATCCCTTTGCAAGCGCTCTCTTTGACCCATCAGACAAGATTGCACAACCATGCCCATACTCTCAGCTCAGCCCGATACGTTTCGACTCAACCTCAACCTCCTGCGACATCATCAACACCTCCTCCTCCCTTCCCTGTATCCTCGAAACCTTCTGCGACTTCCAACATCCATGACCCTCCTTTGGGCACACCTCCACCTTTGCCGCCCGTACAGCCAGGTTCGATCCCGCCTAAAGTAGCGGAATTGGCCGTTGCAGAGGAAGAGAAGGAGATTGCTAAGAAGGAGGAGAAGAAGAAACCTACCGGTCCTTTGCCTGCTAGAGTATGGGCGACGGTCAAGAAAGAGGCGGCTCACTATTGGGCAGGTACCAAGCTGCTCGGTCAGGAAATCAAAATCAGCTCAAAGCTTCAGTGGAAGGTATTGAACGGTGGAACCTTGACGAGAAGAGAGAGACGACAGGTAAGTTGTGTGTCACGTAGTGTATCACGAGCTGCTGTCGCATCACTTCTGTTACAAGTTGACGACGCTGATCGTGTCTCCTTGTTCACAGCTGAAACGTACCACTACCGATCTGCTACGACTTCTGCCTTTCTCTGTCTTCGTCATCGTTCCATTCATGGAGCTCCTCCTGCCCGTAGCACTCAAGCTCTTCCCCAACATGCTTCCCTCGACTTTTGAGGGCGAGTTTGCCGCCAATGAGAAGCAGCGAAAGCTCCTCCGAGTGCGAATTGAGATGGCCAAGTTCTTGCAAGAGACTGTAAGGGAGTCGGGATTGAAGGCGGATAGCGTGGTCAAGAGCGACGAATTCAAGGAGTTCTTCCGAAAGGTGAGAGTCAGCTTAAGCGTTGACTGATATGCTTCGATTGCTGATTTCCATCATCTTGCGCTCTCGCCGGTTATAGGTCCGATCGACCGGTGAGACACCCAGTCAGACCGACGTCGTCAGAGTCGCAAAGCTCTTCCACGACGATATCTCCCTCGACAACTTGTCCCGACCTCAGCTTGTGTCCATGTGCAGGTATATGAATATCAACGCGTTTGGTACGGACAACTTCTTGAAACATCAGATCAGGAACAAGTTGGAGAAAGTCCGAGTGGACGACATGGTGAGTAGCCGCCTCTTGATGTGAAGTCTGGGGGATATCAACTTGTTTATACGAAGCCTTTCACTAACCCTGTCAATCTCTTTGCCAGATGATCCATGCCGAAGGCGTCGACTCTTTGTCTACCAAAGAACTTCAATCAGCTTGCCAATCACGAGGTATCAGATTCCAGGGTGTCTCGCCAGCTCGGCTGAGGGAAGAGCTCGAACAGTGGATCGAGCTGCATTACACCAACGGTATCTCTGGTGTATTGCTGGTCCTGTCCCGAGCCTTCAACTTTGAGCAGAAGGGCGACAATGTCATGGAGAGTCTGGTAACGACACTCAGCAGTCTGCCCGAGAACCTGGTGAGTGATATTGCCACAAATACAGAGTCGAGGTCCAGAATGCTAACTGACGTTCTCATTTTCCTTTTTCAGCTGAACGAGGCCGAGCTCAACGTCTCCGACGAGGCATCATACAAGCAGAAGCTCGAGGTCTTGCAGCAGCAGCAAGAGCTGATCGAGGATGAGGCTGACCAGGAGAAGGTACGCGTGGTAATCTGATTGTGAGGGTGAGGTTACTGACCATCTGACGTATGTTTACAGGAAGAGCAAGAAGCGCGAAAAGAGGAGAAGGAGAGGAAAGAAGCCGAAGAAGCCGCCAAGCGAGAGCAGGAGGAAGCTGCCAAGGCCGCCGCTGCCGCTGCCGCTGCCGAATCGACAGGTGGCCAGCCTGAGCCCGCGAAGGAGGAAGTCAAGGAGGCGCCTAAGCCAGAGGAAGACGCTCGAATGACCAAGGAGCAGTTGACCGAGCTTGCCGAGGCGTTGAGCATCCTCACAGCCAAGTCCTCTATCGTGAAGGAGAGAGACGAGCTCAAGGCATTGCTGGAGGACAACTTGCTTTCCGAAGCGGTGAGTGTGGCGCGTCTCGCTCGGATGTCGGGAAGAATCAAAGTCAGTCGAGGAGCTCATGCTGACATGTCTTTGTTACCCGCAGGAATCCAAGGAGCGACAAGAGGAGAACTCTCCTACGGTTGCCGTATCCAAGCGAGTCAGGAAGATGATCCAGACGATTGACACTCAGCTCGAGAAGTACGACGAGAAGGTCGGATCCAGCTTGAATGTTATCGATACTACTCCCGCCGGTCAGATCGCGCTTGCTGATCTCAAGAAGGCGCTGGGTGTGATTAAGCACAAGCCCACTGCCGAGATGATTGAGGGGCTCGGTAAGAAGTTGGACGTTGACTCGGACGGTTTTGTGGTGAGTGGACGTGTTTCATCAAGTCATAATTGGTCTACAAACGGGTGTGTGCACTATCATGGCTTACTCGCTGACAACACCTCTTGCACTCTTGGCAGGAACTCGATCACGTTCTCGAGCTCACGCAGGATCATGGCTTGGGTATCGTACTCGAAGATGAGGAGGCCCGGAACATCTTGGACAAGGGATCGGACATCAGACATAGCAAGGACGTCAAGGAGCTCAAGTGGGTATCATGTCCCTGTCGCCTGTCTGTCGCTCAC